TCAAGCCTGTAATCCCAGCACTTTGGGAGGCCAAGGCGGGTGGATCACGAGGTCGAGATCGAGACCATCCTGGTCAACATGGTGAAACCCCGTCTCTACTAAAAATACAAAAAAGTAGCTGGGCATGGTGGCTCATGCCTGTAATCCCAGCTACTCAGGAGGCTGAGGCAGGAGAACTGCCTGAACCCAGGAGGTGGAGGTTGCGGTGAGCCGAGATCGCGCCATTGCACTTCAGCCTGGGTAACAAGAGTGAAACTCCGTCTCAAAAAAAAATAATAATAAATAAAAATAACTAAAAGAGTGTAATTGGATTGTCAGTAACACAAAGGATAAATGCTTAAGGAGATGGATACTCCAGTCTCTATGATGTGATTAGTATGCATTGCATGCCCATATCAAAACATCTCATGTACCCTGTAAATATATATACCTCCTATTTACCCACAAAAATTAAAAACTAAAATGTGTTCACCATTTATTTCGTGTGCCCTTTAGAAGTCTTCTCCCAAACTAGTTTTACAGTCTTCCAACTCTTCCCATTCTTGCTGACTCCAAAAGTAAACCTAGGACCATTTCATTATCACCATTATCATGAATTTAAAGAGGATAATGAAAATAATATCCATAAAATCAAAGTTAATAAATCTCGGTTTCCAGTTTAGTTTCTGAATTTTCTTGCTAAAAGATTTATTAGAAAAACGATGATGAGGTGGTAGCTTTCATCCAAACTCCCTTCTTCCAGGTAGGTCAGCTGATTTAAATCTAATCTCAAGACCTACTAAACTGTATATATTATTTCAACTCCTCAGAAATTCCAGTTAGAGAGGTATCTATTTCACTGGGTCCTTGCCCTGAAAAGTTCCCTTATGGGTTTATTCTTACAACTTGAAATAAAGAAGTTAAAAAAAAAAATACTATTCAGCCTGATTTACACAAGATATTTATGGTCATTTATAAGAACAAAAGACAGGCTGGATGCAGTGGCTCAGGCCTATAATCCTAGCACTTTGGGAGGCCGAGATGAGCAGATCACCTGAGGTCAGGAGTTCAAGACCATCCTGACCAACATGGAGAAACCCCGTCTGTACTGAAAATACAAAATTAGCTTGCATGGTGGCACATGTCTGTAATCACAGCTACTCAGGAGGGTGAGGCAGCAGAATGACGTGAACCTCACGGCAGAGGTTGCAGTGAGCCCAGATGGCACCATTGCACTCCAGTCTGGGCAACAAGAGAGAAACTCCATTCTCTAAATAAATACAAACAAACAGATGTGCCATTGCACTCCAGCCTGGGCAACAAGAGAGAAACTCTGTCTCTAAATTTAAAAAAGAACAAAAGAAAAACAAGTAGATAAAAATCAAACTCTGGAAAAATACATAGAAGATCAAGAATAAGAAATTAGATTAGTTAAAATACAAAAAGAGCCACCACTAGGCTCTGTGGCTCACAGCTATAATCTCAGTACTTCAGGAGGCCAATGCAGGCAGATGGCCTGAGCCCCGGAGTTAAGAAACCAGCATGGGCAATGTTGTGAAACCCAATATTTATAAAAAATACAAAAAGAAGAAGAAAAAGTGATATTTCACAATTTTTTGTCATGATGTGAAACTTGAATCTATTATTTTCCTTTGACCAAAAAAAAAAAAAAAAAAAAAAAAAGACTAAAAAGACTACAGATAGGCAGACAATCAAGCTAACACAATTATTAAAACTGAACACTTTTTTTTTTTTTTTTTTTTTGAGACAGTCTCGCTCTGTCACCCAGGCTGGAGTGCAGGGGTGGGATCTCTGCTCACTGCCATCTCCACCTCCTGGATTCAAGCAATTCTCCTGCCTCAGTCTCCCAAGTAGCTGAGTAACAGACCCCTGTCACCACTCCTGGCTAATTTTTTGTATTTTTTTTTAGCAGAGATGGGGTTTAACCATATTGGCCAGGCTGGTCTCGAACTCCCAACCTCAGGTTATCCACCCACCTCAACCTCCCAAAGTGCTGGGATTACAAGCATGAGCCACTGCGCCCAGCCTGAACCCAATTTTAATAGCAGATTTTTACAACCACAGCACAAATTTCGGGCAATCAATACTCTGCTTTGTCCATAAGGAAAAGGCAAATTAAAGCTCTTTCTGAAATAAATCTAAATAACATTTCTTTTGGACAGAGTGATGTAATATGCTTCTTCGTCTACAAAAAGGAAATAGCAGACTTCAGCTGTTTCGTGATTTTAAAAAAATTAGTGCAGGAAAATAAATTATCTCACTTTACATGACTTAAAGTCTTAAAAATTCAAGCTGGAGTAAATAAAACAGTAGTTGGCTAACACTACTGGCAACACCCAACATTATCAGCTTCAAACATCAGAATGAGGTCCTAACATTTTCATTGTGGACTTGCGGTAGATAATAAGCCTAGGTGAATTTTCTAAAGACAAAAGGGTGGTGAGCACTCTCTCTTCTCTGTATCTCATATACATATTACTGTAGTTATGGCATTATAATTACAGACTCTAAGATGTGCATTCCACACCTTTGTCCTGTTTGTAACCAATCCCTAGTATAATATTTAGCAGAAAAATACATACTCAATAAGTATTCACTGAATTAAATAATACTGATGTAAATAAAACCAGTCAACAAAGTAATGCATTACAACAGTGAAATAGCTATCACAGTAACTCCCACCGACAGGGGAGACTAAGAATGGGAAACATGTTCCAGAGCACTGAAGCCTTCCAGATCACTACTTTTTTCCATTTAAGTATTTAGTCTTATAATGCTTCAGAATTAGACCATTCTGTAAGGACAGGAATATCTGCACTGGCTAAGCACAAAGCCTAATTCAGTTGACCCTTAAACAGTGTGGGGGTTAGGGACGCCAACCCTCAAGCAGTCAAAAACTCACTTTTGACTCCCCCAGAATTTAACTACTAATAGCCTACTTTGACCAGAAGCCTCACTGATAACATAAGCAGTCAATTAAAACATATTTTATGTATGTATTATATACTGTATTCTTCAATAAAGCTAGAGAAATTAAGAAAATCATTAGGAAGGAAAACTGTATTTACAATTCATTAAATGGAAGTTGATCAACATAAAGGTCTTCATCCTCAGAGTCTTCATGTTGAGTAGGCAGAGGAAAAAGATGAATGGTTGGTTTTGCTGTCTTAGAGGTGGCAGAGTTGGAAGAAAATCCATGTGTTAAGTGCACTCATGCAGTTAAAACCCATGTTGTTCAAGGTCAACTGCACTTTACATACTTAACATTTAAATTATCCAGGCTGGTAGGGATGTGCATTCAGGAAAGTAGTTAATAATTTTCTTTTGTTCTTATAAATGATCACAACTATGTAGTGCAAATCAGGCCAAATAGTATTAAAAAAAAAAAACAACTTCCTTTATTTCAAGTTGTAAAAATAAACCCCTATGGGAACTTTTTGGGGCATCACCCTCAATAGCCAGGGAGAGCATTCTTTTCCTTCTGCTTTTGAAAGATGATCAGTAACAACATATACTCTGTAACCTTGTCTTTCTTCTGATCAACAATTTTTGTCATTGGTTAACTGTTCTGAACTTCTTCAGTTGTTCTGCATTCTTTGTTCCACACAACTGAAGGTGCCTGGGGATATACAGGAGAGGGTGAGTGCTAAGAAGTGAAAGCAATATTTTACTATTTCTTTCCTTATATACACACTCACTTTTCTGTTTTCACTTAATTTTCAAAGTACAGTGCCAAATTTCTACCAATGACTTAACTAGCTCAGTTCCTACATCAAGTCCTTAAAAGATTCTGGAAAAGAGGTAAGTTGCAGAGCAAAAAAGTATCTCAGTCCATTTTTGTTGCTGTAACAGAATACCTGAGACTGGGCAATTTATAAAGAGAAGAGGTTTATTTTGGCTCATGATTCCAAAGACTGAGAAGTCCAAGATCAGGCAGCCCATCTGTGAGGGCCTCATGCTGCTTCAACTCATGGTAGAAAGCAGATGGTGAACTGAGGAGCGCAAAGAGAACAAAACACAAGAAGCATCCTCACTTTATAACAACCCATTCTTGTGAGAATTCATCCATTCCTGCAAAAGTGAATCCATTCCAGAACTGAGTCTCATAAGAAAGCCCTTAATCCATCTTAATGACCTCACGACCTCTTAAAAGCACCACCTCCCAACACAAGCAAACTGGGGAATCAGGCCTCAGCATGAGTTTTAGTGAGGCCAAACCACATCCAAACCACAGCAGGAAGTTTTAAAAATAGGGTGGGGGAAACCTAAGTGGAAATAAAAACTTCTAGACCATTTACCATTAATGCATATAATACGCAGAAGCTACATTCTTTTAGGCTATAAGGATCTTTATCTAAAAGTATCAACTTAGAAAAGCTGAAGTTTCTCTTCCTTTTTAAATGTTTTCACTTTGTCTATTATTCACTATCAGTTTAGGAAAGCATTTAATAAAAATAAAACCTTTAACTATTTCTATGGTATAATACAAAAGGTTTTAAGAATATTCTTCTGTGTCTCAAAGTATACATATTCATATTCACTTTTTAAATATACATATATATATTTAATTTTTTTTATAGAGATGAGGTTTCACCATGTTGCCCAGGCTGGCCCTGAGCTCAAAATACCTGCCCCCTTCAGCCCAAAGTGCTGGGATTACTGGCATGAGCCATCGCACCCAGCCTATCTTCATTCTTACTTATAGCAAAGTAAATGCTGGAAAACATCCACGTTCTTTTTGTATGGAATTTGGCTAAAAGAACCCACTGCTCAAACCACATTGTAAGTTCATGAAAAACAGCAAAACATGTACCCTAAAACTACCTTCTGAATCTTTCTGCATATTTTAACATCAGTTCTATTTATGGAATTTGGGTCTGTTTTCCTGGTGTGGAAGTGTGTTTGAGGTAGGATAAAAGAAAGGCAGAGATAATTGTGATTAATAAAAGTAAAACAAAATTTCAAACTAGTCAACTTAATTCATTTCTCCAGTCTCATAGTGCACACCCATCAGTTTCTTTAATTAGGAAAAGATGGTCGTTCTGGGTCCAGAGAAAACATCTGATATTACACTGAAAATTTAGTGAAATCTATAGAACACTTTTACTTTAGGTCATCCAAGAGGGCATGAAAATAATTTTTGTTACAAAAAATATTTTTGTATTTTTGTGATGGGATTTTACCTATAACAGTAAGAAAAGCTCACATTTACTGAGTGGCCAATATGTGTCAGCTAATTGTTAAGAATTTTACATGGATTGACTTAATCCTCCAATAACCCTATAAAGTAGATATGATTACCATTAGCCTTGTTTTATAGATGGAAAGTAAGCTTGGGTAATTTAAGCTCACTTCCATTCTACAACAGGGATTGAAACACCAGGCGTCAGTTAGCATGCTTAATCCCCATGCTATACTATCTTCCCACCTATGTAAAAAGATGAGTAGACTCCATTTAGGTAAAATCCCATCTCCTGTCAGATTTTTCTCTCTTGCAGCGCATTTAAAATACATCCAGAAAGTATTGGATCATAAGATGTAATGCCTTTAAAGCATAGTTTTGACTTAAATATTTTCCCTATTACATTTTTAAATTTTTACTATCTCTCAAAATGAATATATAAAACATTTGAAACATGTTAAAAACAGAGTAAGACAAAAAAATTCATGTTTTAAAGGAACATAACTGGTTAGTTGGTATTCCATTGAAAGTATCTTATAATAAACACAAATTTTAATTTTTCATTTAACAACACTAAAGAATGAGGTATATAAATGTTTTAATCACAGACTTTTACTGTATGCAATTAACTGTATTTCACAACTAGCATCTTACAAAAAAGACAGTACCACTATGCCTGTAAAAAATACTGTAATTAAACAGGAAATTACATTACCACACAAAACCACCAAATATCACAACTGTTAGGGTCTACAGTTTTATTTTTTTTTTTCAAATGTTACCATGATGTCTTATGTGATATTGTGTATCCACATTCTATCTTTAAGTTCATTTACAATTCAGACATCTCCTATAGGTGGATATATATTAAGCAAATGGTTAAGAGGAAGCAGGAGACCCCAGGAGAATTTTAAGAAGTACTGTGTGGTTTCTAGGCTGAAATTTTAAATACAACATAAAACACTTTAATAGTTGTAAACAAAAATGCAAAATCTGTGTCATAAAAATATTTTATTGGTAATTTTACATAGTATAAGTGAGGCTGTACTTTTTTCCTTTCTGGACACTGAGTAAGTGTGTAAACTGGCAGTTGAGTCTGAAAATAGGGTACTACGATTTATGTAAGAATTGTTATATTTAATAAGAGGCCAATTTAACTGATTTAAAATTAGTTATTTCCCATTTCTGTGCAACAATTCCCGTATTAATTAGATTCATACTTCTATAGCCCTGGATAAGTTTGGGACAAGGAAACAGTGATAAAACTATCATTAAGTTAAAGCTTTTCTAAAATTACAGCTTGTAAAATATGGCAAGTTTCTTTTCTCTTGTTTTTGCCAAGTGCTTATAATTATTTGAATTTTAATGTTTTATATGCTATAAAAAAATACCAGTGTTCAATGACAATAGCACTAAACCTGAATTATAAAGCTAAATAATCAATATTTTACTGTTTACTAGTCTGCTAGTAAACATTACAATAAATGAATGTTTTGAAAAATAAGGAAACAAAAAAAAAACTCAAAAAATTGATAAAACCAGAAACATAATTCAGGAACAGTAATTAGTAAAACGTGTCAAAAAGATTGGCAAAGGTTCATACAAATTCTTTATTTCATAACAATTTTCCTATTTAACCACACCAAGTACCAGCAGGTGTATTTAAGAGGCTAACCATTAAGAAAAACCTGTTGCAGCAATAGTTGATTAAGTTGATCTTTGACTTGTATACATATAACTATCTGTTTCACAATTCTCAAATAATACATATTTAGGCAGCTTGCACTATGTTATAAAAAATTTAAATTCATTACATGCCAATAGTAGAGAATTCAAGAATTATGTGTTAGAATTCACTAAACTAAAAGTGAAAATACACTTACCAATAACACTGCAAAATGAATAATTCAACCACATTTTCATGGCACTTAATTGCAGATAACAAAATATTAAGTCTGGAAATGTTTGGGTAGGCATAGTTGCAATAAAATCTACAAATTTTAACAAATTTTTATTTTATGTAAAACTCAAATTATGGATTGTTCATGAACGTGTTTGTCATGAAAATGTGGTACCTCTTGGCATAATCTGTATTTGCACGGTAGGACAGAAGTAACTAAGAAATTGGAGAAAATAAACTTTAATGAGATTCTCCATTCAATGATGAGGCTTCTCCTCTAGGTGAAGATGACCTGGACATTCCCCTCTCTGTGTTATCAGAACTAGAGCCGCTCTGACTGTGTTGATCTGCAGAAGCAGCACTAGATGCAGGCGGTGACTTTGTTTTCTCCTTAAAGTCTGTAATAATGACTGTCAGATCTCCAACGGTCACTTCCAAATGCTGAGCACTACTCCGATCCACATTTTTCAATCTTGGCCTAAACATAAAAAAATGAAAATTTAAACTAGCTTTTCTTCTACCAAATTTCTGAACATATAATAAATAATAAAAGTAGGTAAAAGTCATAAAATGAATACATATAGTTAAAGCAGTTTATGTGTAACCAGCCACAAAAACATCATAAAATGTTTCAACTCATTAACATTAATTAGACCAATCATTCATGAACATTCTTCAATGTGACCAAAAACTATGACAGCCTAGAAGAAGTAACTTAATTGTGCTTCTTTAGCTGTATCATAATTTTGCAGGCAGCTTATTCATTTTATTAAAATTGATATTTCAGACAACAATCAAATAGTTGCATCATGGAGGAAGGTGATAAAAGCTAAGGTTGAGCTACATGCAAGGAAGGCTGTTACTCCACTGACACACACTAACAAGGGTATCATGATCGTTCTAACTAAACTACGTACTAGATGTACCCATATAAACCATTTTGAAATGCATGACCCATGCAAGTATCTGTTTGGTACTTTGAAAACCACTCCTGGCTTCAAATAGTTCTGAAGGGAAAAACAAAACAAAACAAGACACCCAGACACAAATGTCTTCCAATCTAGTAAAAAGAAAAAAGCAGCAATACGTTTAAGCTTGTATTTGTGGCTTCTGTGTTTAATTTCCAACCTATCAATCAAACTCAGACAAACATTTCCTGATACTATGAGATCAAATATTTTACTCCTACTTTGTGTATTTGTATATCAAGGATTAAAAAAATTAAATGATTTTATTATTTCAAAAATGTCATAAAATATTTTTCAAATTTACCTGGTTTTCTTATGGCTATTCTTTTTGCTAGTTGTTTCCTTTTCACTTTTTTCTTTTTCTACTTTATCTTTTTTCTCTTTCTTTGACTGTGTAGGAGGCACAAACTGCTGTGTAACCTGCTGTGCAACCAACTGGGAGACAGGTCGAGGTTTCCTGTGTGCATGTTAAAAAGAAAGGTGTTTTAAATTATAACTTATAACATTCGTTCTTTATGAGAGAAGAGCTCACATTATGAGAACAAATAACAAAATAACTTTCAAGTATAAAAATTCCTCATATGTAAGGCAATCAAATATACAATTTTAAAGATACATATTATTGTTTTTCCTGTTCAAAAAGAAACCAGAACCAACTATAATAGTTAAAATTTATAGTCTAATATGTGGTCAAACATTAGAAAACCGTTGCATAAATCAACATAAGAAATTATTTAAAATATGTATCAAACTAAATGGAATGTACCCATATATAAACATGAATTCTAAAAGTTAAACTTTGGCCGGGCGCAGTGGCTCAAGCCTGTAATCCCAGCACTTTGGGAGGCCGAGGTGGGTGGATCACGAGGTCGAGAGATCGAGACCATCCTGGTCAACAAGGTGAAACCCCGTCTCTATTAAAAATACAAAAAGTTAGCTGGGCATGGTGGTGCGTGCCTGTAATCCCAGCTACTTAGGAGGCTGAGGCAGGAGAATTGCCTGAGCCCAGGAGGCGGAGGTTGCGGTGAGCTGAGATCGCGCCATTGCACTCCAGCCTGGGTAACGAGAGCGAAACTCCGTCTCAAAAAAAATAAAAATAAAAATAAAAATAAATAAATAAATAAATAAAATAAAATAAAAGTTAAACTTCAAAGTTTACAATGAAATAATAATTTATGTGCTCGCTTCGGCAGCACATATACTAAAATTGGAACGATACAGAGATTAGCATGGCCCCTGTGCAAGGATGACACGCAAATTCGTGTAGTGTTCCATAAAAAATAAAAAATAAAAGAAATAATAATTTATCCCTCCTCCTCCAGAGAAGGAAATACCTAACCATTTGTGACAATGACTATCTATTCTCTAAAACTTTTCATTTATATTACCAAAAATTTTATCAAATTTTATTATAAAATATATATTATCAAAATTTTTGATATTTGTTATCAAAATTTCTCACTCTTTATTGCTTAAATCCTTTAAGTTTCTAATGTCTCCAGCCACAATCTCACTATGTTCTTTTGACCTTGGAGATCTACCCAGTCCTTTCAGATTCATCTACTTGCTAACTTACTCACTTAGAAAATATTTATTGAAAACCTACTGCAGGAACTGTTCAGGGATCTCTGAAATGTTGCCTGGCTTCAACATCTGAAGCTGGTACAAGCTTTTACCTTTCCAGCTTTACCACAGAACTTCCACAACTGAGGTTAAGATTAAAAATAAACAGAATACAGCAAGGAAAGAGGCAGAGAGAAGGAGAGGAAAAGTAAGGGAGAGTAAGATAAAAATAACATTTTAACAGATGCTCTACAAATAATGTTAACTTTATTGCCTGAAAAATCCTGACCCTTTTTTGGTTAGCAGAATTTTTTAAATCTTTTTTTTTCTTCCCTGTTCCTCTATGGCAAGACAACATAAAAAATAATGAGAAAATACTGTACAATCTAAGATTCAAAGCTGCAAGGCTGGGAGAAAATAGGAAACAGTATGTAAAACAGATTTCAGGAGATGGATAATGAATTCTGTTCAGGGCCTACAGGGCCTAGAAAGTATGAAGTAATGAAAGGATATCCAGGACAGCTGTCCAACATACAACTTAGAAAACAGGATTGCCGATATGAGTCTGAGACGTAGACTGAGAGTTGCACAAACACAAGTGATACTGAAAGTATGGTAATTAATGGCTGAGATTAAAAAAGAAAAGGGTTAAGGTGGTGGTTTTCAAATTCAGGGTACATCAGAATCACCTAGAAGGCTTGTTTAGCTTGCTTAGCCCTACCCCCGGAATTTCTGATTCAATAGGCCTTGAAGTAGAGCCCAAGAAATTGTACTTGTAACTAAGTTTCCAAGTTATGCTGATGTCTCTGGGGACCACACTTTAAAAAGCAGCATGAAGTACAATACATCTGGTGAATACTGGTACTACTGCAGGATCAAGTCTGAGATAGCAGAGTGGCAGAGAGAGAAGGAAAAAAAACCAAGGTGGACAGATAAGAAAGGGTCCCAAGATTAGAAGCTAAGCAGTCTGATTTTATCCTTAAGTGATGAGAAATCACTGAAGAAATTCCAAATTTAATTTTAAAAAGATTACTGGCATCAGTCTGAAATAGAAAGGTACTACACTATACTGGAAGTAAAAATGTGAGACTAGTGGTATAATAAGTGATCATGTAATCTCTGTACCTAGTACTGTTATTTTTTAAGCATCAACAACTTTTCTATAATGGTTCCTTTTGGCCTTTAGAAAAATATTTTTTTTTGTTCTTGAGTAGTTATATCTCTTTCTCTTTTTTTCCCTAGGCTTTCCTAAATGTGTACTACGTAACTATACCATTTTTTTAAATTTAAGTTCTGGGGTACATGTGCAGAACATGCAGGTTTTTATGTAGGTATACACATGCCATGGTGGTTTGCTGCACCCAACAACCCGTCATCTACATTAGGTATTTCTCCTAATGCTATCCCTCCCCACCCTCCGACAGGCCCCGGTATGTGAAATTAATCTCCCTGTGTCCATCTACTCTCATTGTTCAACTCCCACCCATGAATGAGAGAGAAAATGTGGAGTTTGATTTTCTGTTCTTGTGTTAGTTTGCTGAGAATGATGGTTTCCAGGTTCATCCGTGCCCCTGCAAAGGACATGAACTCATTCTTTCTTTTTTTATGGCTACACAGTATTCCACGGTGTATATGTACCACATTTTCTTTATCAAGTCTATCATTGATGGGCATTTGGGTTGGTTCTAAGTCTTTGCTACTGTGAATAGTGCTGTAATAAACATACATGTTCATGTGTCTTTACAGGAGAATGATTTATAATCTTTTGGGTATATACCCAGTAACTGGATTGCTAGATCATATGATATTTCTAGTTCTAGATCCTTGAGGAATCGCTGCACTGTCTTCCCCAATGGTTGAACTAATTTACACTTCCTCCAACAGTGTAAAAGCATTCCTATTTCTCCACATCCTCACCAGCATCTGTTTTTTCCTGACTTCTTAATGATCACCATTCTAACTGGTGTGAGATGGTAGGTATCTCAACGTGGTTTTGATTTGCATTTCTCTAATGACCAGTTATGATGAGCTATCTTTCCTATGTTTGTTGGCTGCATTAAATGTCTTGTTTTGAAAGTCTTTGTTCATATCCTTCACCCATTTTTTAATGGGGTTGTTAGTTTTCTTGTAAATTTGTTTAGGTTCTTTGTAAATTCTGGATATTAGCCCTTTGTCAGATGGATAGATTGCAAAAGTTTTCTCCCATTTTGTAGGTTGCCTGTTCACTCTGATGACAGTTTCTTTTGCTGTGCAGAAGCTCTTCAGTTTAATTAGATCCCATTTGTCTATTTTGGCTTTTGTTGCCATTGCTTTTGGTGTTTTAGTCATGAAGTCTTTGCCCATGCCTATGTCCTGAATGGTATGGCCTAGGTTTACTTCTAGGGTTTTTATGACTTCAGGTCTTAGGTTTAAGTCTTTAACCAATCTGGAGTTAATTTTTGTATAAGGTGTAAGGAAGGGGTCCAGTTTCGGCTTTCTGCATATGGCTAACCAGTTTTCCCAACACCATTTATGAAATAAAGAATCCTTTCCCCACTGCTTGTTTTTGTCAGGTTTGTCAACGATCAGATGGTTGTAGATGTGTGGCATTATTTCTGAGGCCTCTGTTCTGTTCCATTGGTCTATATATCTGCTTTGATACCAGTACCATGCTGTTTTGGTTACTGTGGCCTTGTATAGTTTGAAGTCAGGTAGCGTGATGCCTCCAGCTTTGTTCTTTTTGCTTAGGACTGTCTTGGCTATATGGTCTCTTTTTTTGGTTCCATATGAAATTTGAAGTAGTTTTTTCCAATTCTGTGAAGAAAGTCAATGGTAGCTTGATGGGGATAGCACTGAATCTATAAATTACTTTCGGCAGTACAGGCCTTTTCACGACATTGATTCTTCCTATCCATGAGCATGAAATGCTGTTCCATTTGTTTGTGTCCTCTCATTTCCTTGAGCAGTGTTTATAGTTCTCCTTGAAGAGGTCCTTCACATTCTTGGTAAGCTATATTTCTAGGTTTTTTTTTTTTTTTGTAGCAATTGTGACTTGGAGTTCACTCATGATTTGTCTGTTTGGGTGTATAGGAATGCTTGTGATTTTTACACACAGATTTTGTATACTGAGACTCTGCTGAAGTTGCTTGTCAGCTTAAGGAGATTTTGGGCTGAGACAGAGTTTTATAAATACACAATCATGTCATCTGCAAACAGAGACAATTTGACTTCCTCTTGTCCTAACTGAATACCCTTTCTTTCTTTCTCTTGATTCACTGCCCTGGCCAGAACTTCCAGTCCTATGCTGAATCAGAGTGGTGAGAGGGCATCCTTGTCTTGTCCCAGTTTTCAAAGGGAATGCTTCCAGCTTTTGCCCATTCAGTGTGATACTGGCTGTGGGTTTTTCATAAGTAGCTCTTACTATTTTGAGATTCATTCCATCAATACGTAGTTTATTGAGAGCATAAGGGAGTGCTGGATTTTGTTGAAGGCCTTTTCTGCATCTATTATCATGTGGTTTTTGTCATTGGTTCTGTTTATATGAAGGATTACATTTATTGATTTGCGTATGTTGAACCAGCCTTGCATCCCAGGGATGAAGCCTACTTGATCGTAATGGATAAACTTTTTGATGTGCTGCTGGATTTGGTTTGCCAGTATTTTATTGAGGATTTCACATCAACGTTCATCATGGATATTGACCTGAAATTTTCTTTTTTTGTTTTGTCTCTGCCAAGTTTTGGTATCAGGATGATGCTGGACTCATTTTATGAGTCAGGAAGGATTCCCTCTTTTTGTATTGTTTGGAATAGTTTCAGAAGCAATGGTACCAGATCCTCTTTGTACCTCTTGTAGAATCTGGCCGTGAATCCGTCTGGTCCTGGACTTTTTTGGTTGGTAGACTATTAATTGGTG